AAGGTTAGTACTATACAAAATGATACTTAAGAATTTTATTAACTTCTGATTTATACTAATACAATAGCTCCCAAATGTTATGCATCACTTGGAGAAAAAATTTAAAAAAGCGATATTTTTAAATCATATAATATAATAATATAAAAAATTTTCTAAGTATAGGAAAATCATATTTATTAGTTGTAATATTTTGATTATATATTGTTATATAAAATAAGATTTTTTGTTCATCTTTTCTAAAAATTTGATGTGTTACTTTTGACTATTTATTTACATATCAATTATTATATATAAAATTTGTTAAACTATAAATAAACTAGCAAAAAAACTTTAAACTACCTCTTTTTTATTTATTTTATTTAAATTTTCCAAAAAAATGAGATGGTTATCTATTGAAAAAAGAAATAGAATAAATTCACCTATTCAAGAAAAGTTTTTATCTTATTTCATTACTTTTCATAAGAAAATTACTCAATCTACTATTATTAGAATAAAGTAGAAGGTGAAAGCTATAGGTTTTATAAAGGATTTATCAGAATCAGATCATCTAAAACTCTTTATAGAGAGAGATTATAAGAATATTTTCATCTGAAAAGTATTCTACTGTTATAAATATTCAAAAAAATCTAAAAAATAATAGTAAAATTATTGTAAGTAAAAATACTGTAAGGTATGTATTATATAAAAATAGTTTTTCTTCAAGAGTTAAAAGAAAAAAGCCATATTTAAAGAAAAAACATTGTTAATTATGCTTAAAAAATACAAAGACTAAGGAGTTGAAAAATAGAGCAAAAATAATTTAGTTTGATAAGTCCAAATTTATGATATTTGATTCTGATAAATGTAAATATTGTTGGAATAAACCTGATGAATTCCTTATTGATAAGCATGTAATTCTTATAGTAAAATTTAGTAGAGAGTATATTATGGTATAGGAATACTTTCTTCTTTTGGAGTTAGTAACATGTAAGAATTATGAAAATATAAATGATAAATTATATTGAGTAATATTAAAAATGTCTTTTTAAAAATGATCGAATAGTATGGAGTTGATAAAAATGATATTATATTCTAGCAGAATAATGATTCCAAATATATTGTGAACCTAATATGACAGTAGTATGAGAATCAGATTTAAATCTGATAGAACATTTATGCAATGAAATTGATAATTGAATATAATGATTTTTTATAAGAATTTATACACAAGATCAACTTTAAGATATAGTATAAAAAGTCTGAATTAAAATAGATATAAAGTTTCTTAACAAATTAATTAAAAGTATATCAGTGCGTATCAATGATGTAATATATGCAAAAGATAGTTATATTAGGTAGTAAGCTTTAAATTAAAAAAATTTGCTAATTTAGGTTAGATTTTTTATTTAATTGTTCATTTAAGATCAGATATCAGAAATGATCAAAAGTAACACATCGTGATAATTTGATTAAAATTTTATTTATTCAATTTTTATATTAATAAATTAGAATAAAAATTTATCTTTTACATTATTACAATATAATAAAAATGAATTATAAATTTTATTTTTTTATCACGTGTATACAAAGTAATTAAATTTTAAAATTTACTAATTGGGATGATACATAGCATTTGGAAGTCAATGTAAATAGAATTAAGCTAAATTATAAAGATCATTAAATAGCAAATAACTAAAAATATTTCATTAAGAAAATAAATTTACCTTGTAAGCTTGCTTAATATTGTTTTATTTGAATTCAACTGTTAGGGAAAAAATTGGTTTTCATTATCAGAAACTCCAATTGAAGCTTGCTTTCAAAGCTCTTTTTGATGTTTCTGCTACTTTCATACTTTGAAACTAGTTTTTTTAGTATTTCTTTATGTACTTTCAGAAACAAAGCACGACTTTATGTTTTTCTCTATCCATTTAAATCAAGCTTTTTTCTTGTTAAAAGGTATAATAACATTGGATTTTTCTAATAGAATAAAAGTTTCATAAATATTTGATTATGTATTTGATATAAATATCTAATGACCAACCTGATAATTAATTATCAGGAACATGATCCTCACTATTTGGAAAGCCAATTATTAATTCAAAGGAAAATGGATTTGCATAAGTAAAATAATCTTGATAATTACCTTCTTGAGAATTAATTAAATAGTCAGACAGAGAAAGAATAGATGTCTAATAATTTGAATTAAATTGTAAAGGATGAATTGGAATCATCGTTTCCGCGTTTTGCGCATTACTAGAGCTATCTTGTTGGTATAAATATGTATAGAGATTCATTGGAGGATCTATTATTAAAAGCTGCAGTAGTTATGTGATTCGCATTCTTGTTATAGGTTTAGCTTGTATGATACTATCAGAATTGGGTTCATAGTTTATGAGAGGATGTAATTATTTTTTTTTTCGTAGAGGAGATATTTAGTTGAATTTATATACAATTATTTTTTAAGCGATCATGCAATAATTGCCTTGTATTCTTAAAATTATCAAATAATATGTTAATTTTATCAAATGTAATGTAATTATTTATTATGTGTAAAGCTCCTGGATTTACCCGAAAAACGGTGTTACTTGGGCTTATCAAACGGAAGACTCTGAATCCAGTTGAAATTATATATAAAAGGTATTTTTTCGTTTTTAATTTATTTATAAAAAAAAACTTGAATACTTTATTTGAGGTTTTTAACTAACATCGATTGTAAATGATTGGTCAATTATTTCTCTAATTGAAGATGAAAAAAATGACGCGCTTTATGATAACATAAAACCGGAAATTTATCGTTAAATATATAACTGTTAAACCCGTTATTTTCTCATATTTTGACCAGAATTTATTTATACTACATATTAGCTTTTTTATTGTGCGATCTAAGATTAAATTTTTTTCTTAAAAAAAAAAAATCTTTTTATAATGAAAATTAAAATTTTGAATTTGTACATTTTTTTGACGTTATTTTATTTACATATTTTTTTTTTTTTTTTTGCGATTCTAATGAATTTTTCATTCGAATTTTATTAAACATCAGCAAATTGATATTACATCCTTTAAAGTGGTGGGATGTAAACAAAAGCAGCTTTTATATTTTATTTCAACTTTATATAAAAAATATCTATCTATTCCTGCAACTTCATGTATCTAGCGAAACATTGTTTTCAGACGCAAGTAATTATATATAGCAAGATGTATTCAATTATCTCTGGTCCTCAGAATATGGACCGAGGACCACAAAGACCGTACTATTAACCGGTCTGAGACCGGTCTTACCAGACCGATCTATCTCTACTACCAAAGCGCTAAAATACATTTTAACATGTTTACGAATATCGAAAATCATTTTTTCGTTAGTTATCTGTTGAAAGGTCCGCTCCAAGAAAAAAAAAAGAAGAAAAAAGAAGAAAATTAGTAAGTAAAAGAAGAACCTCTTATTTTAAGAATGTTCTATATTAAATAAAAAAAGAATAAATAACGAAAGTTAAAAAAAAAAATAAGTAAATGAATAATAAAAAAAGACGAATTAAACGAAAGAAATAAAGAGACGATCAATCAAAATGATCGATTGATATTCAAATATCAAATATTTTATGTATTTTATTTATACAAGTCTCCTTTTAGGAAAGTTATTTATGCAGTGAATATTGATAGAAATTACCATCTCTTTTTTTTTTATTTGCTAAATTTGAACTACAATAAATATTTAGCAAAAATGGGGGCTAAGCTATTAAAATCACCTTACGGGATAAGAGATTGATTTTGAGTGGAATTGTGTAACGTTTCACGATCTAATTGTTATTATTTATACACATACTCTAAACGGCACCATTATACAACACGTATTTTTTTTATTATTTAAGATTTTTTTTATTAAAATATATGATTAAAACTATGGGCGCAATTGTTTATATTTATTACAAATGTTAGTCCGGAGCCAAGCGAAGAGAGAAAATCTTGGAATTTGTACCGTGATTTGTAAATCCGTTCATGTATTTAATTTGATTTATGACAGAATGAAGCAAAATAGAGTCTTTTATAGAATGACAAAGACATATCGTTCGTTTAAAAGTAACAAATCTAACGCTAGTTGATTTAGTTTATTTCAAGTCAAAACCTTTCTTAGTCAGAATTTTAACTTGATGATTGTCACAAATAATATCTGATTTTCACATGAGAAAAAGTGCTATAATTGTGTGGTTTATATCCACGATATTTTCAACCATAAAAAGATTAGAATCACACCTCTTGGGATTGATAAATATGAGGAACATACCCGCGTGGTGATGATAATCAATTATTTATATTTATTTTTAAAGTATTACTTTATTTAAATATGAATAAAAATAAGATTTTAGTATATAATTGTAAGTTGGTCTACTTTAAATGAAAAAAAAAAAAAAAAGAAAAAAAAAAAAAAAAAAAAAAAAAAAAAAAAAAAGCCACCCGGCACCTTTGTTATATATATATAAAAAAAAAAAATAATAATGCCACCTTAGCACCATTACTATATTATAAAAAAAAACGCGTTCCTTTGATATTAAAAAAACTTGAAACCCGGCTCCAAAAAAAAAAAAAAAAATGCCACCTAGCATTTTTGCTATTGTATTATATACATAAAAAAAAATTAAAATGCCACCTGGCACCTTTGCAATTAGAAAAAATTCCACCCGACATTTGCTATATTTTAAAAAAAAAATTGGCCACCCAGCACCAAAAAAAAAAAAAAAACACCTGATACATTTATAATTAAAATTTAATTATTAATTGTATTAGTTCTCCAGGTGTTTTATATCCCTCTTTAAACGGCGGCCTGCTTTTATGTTCCTTACATTCCGTTACATTATGCCCTGGTCTCCAACATTTAAAGCAGTTTGATAAAGAACCTTCGTTAATATTTGGACAATTATTTGCTCCATGTCCAAAATAATTACAAAGGTAACATGGGTATATGAAGGATCCTGTTGACATGAACCAGTTATGATCAGTTGACAACCTTACACCTTCCGATGTAAAATATGGTGGATGTAATGTTGTTGTTGGCGGTAGTGATGATGATGGTGATGGTATTGATGGTAGTGATGGTGATGGTAGTGATGGTAGTGATGGTAGTGATGGTGAGGGTGGGGGGAATGTTGTTGCTGCTGCTTCTGTTGTTGCTGTTGCCGCTGTTGTTGCTGCCGCCGCTATTGTTGTTGCTGCCGCCGCTATTGTTGCTGCTGCCGTTGTTGTTGTTGTTGCTGCTGCCGTTGTTGTTGCTGTTGCTGCTGCCGTTGTTGTTGCTGCCGCTGTTGTTGTTGCTGTTGCTGTTGTTGTTGCTGTTGACGCTGTTGTTTTTGCTGCCGAGGAAATTGCCGATGCAATTGCCATCATAACTGCTGATGATGCAGTTGAGTAATTTTCGATGCTCGAGGATAATTTATTTATGGTTGAAGTACATTCTTTTAAAACTTCTTGATTATTATTTATAGATAATTTATATAATGACATTAATTCTTGATATGTGTTATTATTGGTGTCAATGGCAATATAATCCTCCAAAAGTTCCTCGTCAATTTTATTAAAAGGCATGTCGAAAAAAATTACGTTTAAAAAAAAAA